GGGGGGGGTCACACCTCATCAGCAAGGGTACCTGCACAATGAATATTTGTATACCTAACCCTGAATTGAACCCCACATCTTTAAAATTTAAAAGTGAAAAAAAAAGAAGAGATTGCTGGTGATTATACAGGACAAATTTATGCCAGCGCAAATTTTTCAAAAATGTGCTTTCTTTAGGTTTTCCGTTCAAATTGCATGAAAAACCAAATAAAGAGATGGAATATATACTGAGATATACGTTAAAAAAAAGGTATCAGCTGGCATTACTTAGAAAGAGTATGTGTGAAGTGCTTTCACAGTGGTGCTGACACTTCTTAGTAACAGAATGTAGCAATAAAGAGCATTTGTATAAGAAAGGCAGCTGTGGGTATACCCTTTGTATCATATGGCATAACTTGAAAAGATAGATAAGCAAGTTACTGTAGCCTTAAAAGAAAGAGACTTTTGAAGTTGAAGGCAGATTGTTACCACACGTTAGAAAAATATAAGATATAAAATCTTGATTTTTTTGATATAAACAAGCTCCTCAACGTGCAAAATTCCATCATAAGTCAAATATTATTACAATAAAATAATTAGTTTCAGTGCTATAGTATTAATATGAAGTGATTTGTTTTTCACTATTTCATTTAAAAAGTGTGGTCAAGTTGCTGGTAGGTGATCCATGAGATGTCCCTGAGTATAATTCAATACACTACTGAACAAGACCTTCTTGGCAAACTCTGTCCATGCATCACATGCACAGGCTGGAATAAATATCAACACTAACAGAGCTGAGAACCAAAACGAACACACCTTAAAGTTGGAGAGGAGTAAGCCGGCAGATATGCTGGTTACACTATCTCATACTGGTTATTTGTTATGGCACGAGAGAGGCAGTAGGCTAGAAAGATTCCAATAAGCTGGAAATAAAACATGAACAAAATTAAACACACACACAAGAACTTGAAGACCTCAGAATATAGATATATTCTCCGTTCACTTACAATTCACTAATAATTTCCTTCCTTAGGTTTTTCTAGACAGTTATGTTGACATTCTGCAGAATCTAGATTACATTCAAAGAATATAAGTCAAATTTTACTACTACTGTGACCCAGAATTTCACAACTGTCACTAAAAGAAAATCAGGTGACAGTTCAGGAAACTGTCACTCAAGGAAAAGTCAGAAGTCATTAGTTTTGCAGAAACTTTTTTTACTCTCAGTTACCAGAAAAAAATAAGAACATGGCTTTCAATAAATATCCTATCAAGTAATATCTCCATTCATGAGGGCAGAGATTTTCTTGGAAAGATCTAGAGCAGTGCTTCAATAATAGAAATGTTCCATAATCCTTGTGCTGTCCAATACAGAAGACAGCAGTCATGTGGTTATTGAGTGCTTAAAATGGAGCTCCAGCAACTGACGCTTTAATTTTATTTAATAACTAGAGCCTTTCAAAGGTGGCTAGTGGCTTTTCTATTAGTGCAGACTTATATACAGCTATGCTTGCTACTTTAAAAATATATGAAAACTAGGCTTGGATTGATCTCATTTCCACAGTGTTTGTAGTATAAAGAAAGCCCCATGCCCTGAAAAAATTATTTAGAGCCACAATACAAACTTTTCATGCTACAGTGAGAAAAACAACTTGGGAAATACAATTTGACCTGTAACATAACATCTACCCAAAATAATAGGAACATAATGAATGTCAGGTTGAATGATCTAAATTTTAACAGGTTAGATCTTATATGCAACTCATCAGGCAGTTATATCCCAGGAAAGAAAGATACTAATAATGTTTCAGAACGTGACTAACAGCAGGGAAAACCAAGGTTCCCATCTATCTCATGTTTTGTTTAGTTAATGAACTATAATGTTGGAAAGTTGCCATTACTAAGAGGGCACTGACTCTTTCCACAGTTAACTGCTTTCAAAGGACATGCACTGCTAGAAGAAGTTAATTCTGAGTCTTGCTTTGGTTTTCTTTTTGTAGTTTCAAGGCATGATTGGCCATGGTAAAGAGTGTGTACAATAGGAATAAAAATTTAGAGAACTCTGTAGCTGTGAAAAAACAGTGTAGGAAAATGAAAGATCCAATACCTCAAAAAACTGGAATGAAAAGAGCAAAACATAAATAAAACAAAACTAAATAAAGACTCAATCGCAATCAAAATCATTACTACATATACAAAATAAATGCAATCAAAACTGCACCACAAGAAAAATATTTATATACTGTAGCCAATAACTGAGAGTTTTGTGAAAATGTGACTTATCTAAAAATATCTTCACTAATTCAGGCCTCTGAAGCAAAAACTTTAAGCCTTAAAAGTGAAAATCTTCTAGTTTACACTTATAGGAAGGATGAAATAGTTCCTAAGGAACTACAAGGGCTTACCTGGAAGCAAGCAACTCCAAAGGAAATTCCTGCAACAACTCCCATTTTTGACTCTATAATGGTCATCACCTTTATAAAACAACCCTAATAGAAGAAAAAAAAACAGATTAAGTATAACACAAGCAATCTGTGCTTTTCTTTATGGTAAAAAAATACTTTGATCATACACCTCTGCAGAAATTATTGAAATCAATTCTCTTCTATATGTTCTCAACAGAACAAATTGTTATTCCCAACTATTTCCACATTTTGGATTAGGCATTTAAAAGTGTTACTTGCTAGAAAACAGAAAGATCACAAGTAAACAGCCTAACGACACGCCTAAAGGAGCTGGAAAGGCAAGATCATCTAACTCCTAATATCAGTAGAAGAATACAGATCACAAAGATAAAAAATCACAAATGCAGGATATAGAAGACAAAAATATCACAGAAAAGATCAACAAGACAAAAAGTTCATTCTTTGAAAGTATATATAAGATTGACGGACTCCTAGCCAGATGGACTAAAAAAAGAGAGAAAGTCCAAATAAACACAATTATAAACACAAAGTGAACTCACAATTGACCCTAAAGAAATTCAAAAGATTATCAGAGAATATTAAGAACACCTGTATGCAAATAAACTGGAAAACCTAAAGGAAATGGAAGACTTTCTGATATCACACAACGTCCCAAGGTTTAAACAAGAAGAAACTGAAACTCTCAACAGACTAATAACAATTCAGAAAATTGACTCAGTCATAAGAAATCTCCCCACCAAAAGAAAAGCCCCAGACTAGACGGCATTGCAGCTAATTTCTATAAGACATACAAGGAGGAAATAATACCAATGTTATTGAAAGTATTCCAGGCAGTCAAGAATGATGAAATTCTCCCCAACTCATTTTGTGAAGTTAACATCATACTGATGCCCAACCCTGGCAAAGATCCAACAAGGAAAGAGAATTACAGGCCAATCTCCTTGATGAACATAGACGCAAAAATTCTCAAGTTCTAGCAAATTGGATACAATAATATACCTCAAGGATAATCTACCATAACCAGGTGGGCTTCATTCCTGGGATGCAGGGCTGGTTCAACATTCACAAGAACATAGGGTAATTCAGAACATTAACAGGTGTTAAACCAAGAACCACATTATATCATTAGATGCAGAAAAGTCATTTGACAAAATCTACCATCCCTTCCTGATAAAAACCTTTGAGCACATAGGCATAGAAGGAACAGTCCTCAAAACAGTAAGAGTCATCTATGATGAATCCACAGCCAACATTTTGCTGAATGTGTAGAAGCTGGAAGCATTCCCCCTAAGAATGGGAACAAGACAGGGATGCCTACTCTCACCCCTCCTGTTCAACATAGTGCTGGAAGTCCTAGCCAGAGCAATAAGGCAAGAGAAGGAAATCAGGGGTATCCAAATAGGAAAAGAGGAAGTTAAGCTATCCCTCTTTGCAGATGACATGATTCTAGACCTTGAAAACCCTAAGGAATCTGTCAAAAGCCTCCTCACACTGATAAATGATTTGGGTAAAGTTTCGGGTTACAATCCATGAGTAAAAGACAGTTGCATTTCTATACACCAGCAACAAGCTCACAATAGCCACAAAAAATTAAATATCCTGGCATCTATCTAACCAGAGAAGTGAAAAACCTTTACAATGAGAACTACAAAATGCTGCTCAAAAAAAAAATCAAGGATGACCCAAATGGAAAAACATTACATGATTATGGATTGGAAGAATCAATATTGTCAAGATGTCCATCCCATCCAAGGCAATCTACAGATCCAATACAATACCCATCAAATTACCAATATCTACTCAGACCTAGAAATGGCAGTACAGAAATTCATATGGGAACAAAAAAGAACACAAATAGCCAAAACAATCCTCAGCAAAAGGAACAAAGTGGGAGGTATCACACTTTCAAACTTTAAACTTCATTATAAGGCTACAGTAACCAAAGCAGTCTGATATTGGTACTAGAATAAGCACACAGACCAATGGAACAGGACAGAGATTCCAGAAGCAAAAACTCAGTCTCTCAACCAACTCATCTTCGACAAAGCCACTAATAACAAGCACTGGAGAAAGGAGACTATATTTAGCAAATGGTGCTGGGAAAATTGGCTAGCCTAACACACAGAAGAATGAAACTAGACCCCTACCTAACACCATATACAAAAATCAGCTCAAAATGGATCAAAGAACTAAATGTAAAAGCTCAAACTACAAGAATCCTAGAAGAAAACATAGAAAGCACCCTTATGGATGTCAGAGTAGCAATGAATTATTGACCAAGTCCCCAAAAGCAAATGCCATAAAAGCTAAGACAGATAAGTGAGACCTCATCAAACTGAAAAGCATTTGCACAGCAAAAGAAACGAAGAGAGTAAAGAGATAACCCACAGAAAGAGAAAAAAATATTTTCAAATTATGCATCTGACAAGGGCCTAACATCCAGGATCTATAAGAAACTCAAACAAAGTGAAAGGAAAAAGACAACCCCATTAAAAAGTGGGCAAATGACATGAACAGACACTTCTCAAAAGATGATATACAAGCAGTCAACAGACACACGAAAATCTGCTCAGCCTCACTAATCATCAGAGAAATGCAAATTAAAACTACAATGAGATGCCACCTAACTCCAGTAAGAGTAGCTATCAATAATAACTCAAAAAATAACAGATGCTGGCGTGAGTACGGAGAAAAGGGAACACTTCTACAACATTAGTGGGCGTGCAAACTAGTTCAGCCTCCATGGAAAGCAGTGAAGTGATTCATAAAAGAACTAAAAATTGACCTTCCATATGATCCAGCAACCCCTCTCCTGGGAACATACCCAGAGGAACATAAATCATTCTACAAAAAAGACAACTGCACATCCATGTTTACTGCCACACTATTCACAACAGCAAAAACATGAAACCAACCCTACTGCCCATCAAAAGTAGACTGGATAAAGAAAATGTGCTACATATACATGATGGAGTATTACACAGCCATAAAGAACAAAATTATGGACTTCACAGCAAATTGGATGGAGTTGGAGACCATCACACTAAGTGATCTATCACAGAAACAAGGAACTGAATATCACATGTTCTCACTCATAAGTGGGCCCTGAACATTAGTCACATTAGCACAAGAGAAGGACCAGCAGTCGCTGGGCACTGCTAGGTGAGGGAGGGAGGGAGGAGGGTAGAGGGCACGTGACAACACAGAGTACCTGATCCACTGCTAGGGGAGTGAGGGCCAGTTAGGAGCCCAAACTTCACCTGCATGCAATCTACTTATGTCGTTCATCCCCACTTGCACCCCACATGACTATAATAAAAAAAATTTTTAAAGTGTTACTTGCTGTTTATATGAACTCAAGTCTTAACCTGCCCTGCCTATTTTAGCTTAGGTATATTAACGTGAGTAAAAATTAAAAATTGAGCCAACTATGTTCAGTTAAGTCCTCAAACACTGTCAAAGTTTTTAAAGGCTCCTTACTTCATTGTTTACTTTATCTGCATCTCTCTGTGGAGAACAATCTTCATGTTTACAGCAACTCTTGGGAAATCCTTTTTCTGAGTAATAATTAGTATCTTTCCAATCTTTATAATCGGTGACACCACAACAATGTAACTGAAAAATCCAACAAAAGCATTTATAATTCATATTACAACTTTGTAGCCAAACATTTAACCTAACATCATCTTCTAAGACTGCAATTTGTGCTTAAAACAACATTATACTCAATGATCTCTCCCCTGAACTGATTCAAGAGATTAGCACCAAACATGGCAGTTTGGTATTGGCCTTACTTTTCTGCTATAGTTGGTCTATAATGAAAGCAGGGAGGAAAGAGGAAGAGAACAGGTGTGTATGTGAAGGCAATAAAATGTGTCATACTTCTTTCCTGTATAAGTGAACAACATCTAGTAGCCAGGTCCTATCCTTTTCTCTGAGGTGGTAGAAACTGTGTTCCCCTCTTAAGAAATCACCACCTATATCCACTTACCGTACTTTGGATCCTATCTACAGCATGGCTTCTATAATCTCCCGTAGAGTTATATTGCTTCAATGCCTTCTCATAATTATTTTTAAAGCTGTTCTTAATCTACAGCAAAGAAAACACAATGCCAGTAAACAAATATTCTAAAAATTTCTTCTGATTTCTAGATCAAATAAGTTCACCTATCTGATCAATAGACATATCTTTGACAGAAATAACATATATGGTAATTAACTTCCACAGACCAATCCTGTCCTCTAAGGGATATAGTTTAACTGAGGTGACTACTAACCAAAACATTACAGTATAAAATGATAACCACTACAAGTTCAAAGTACTGTAGGAGCATGTATCTATCCAAGTGGCAGCATACACTCCCCCCCAATCTTTTTCCACTTTAAATTGAATACAGATTTGTTGCCTAAGAAATTTTTAAGCTACAAAACCTTACTTTGGGAGGCTGCACTACCAGTTTGTAAAACACTCTCGCTGATGAGCCTTCACTACTCACCGAATGATTTCCTAAGAACTCCAGGTTTACCTGATTTCTAGTTCAAAATTAAACTTTTGATAATTTGTATTAAGCATATCTAATCTTTTCAAAATGCTTGGTGTAAGTGAAGAAGTTATCGATTTTGTGCTTTGAATATTTTCCTATCGGTAAAGCTATAAATTATACTATCTCTCCCTTAACAGGTTCTTATGCGCAGAAAACTGACTGGAAATAAATGTAACTATTTTTTCTGGTTATTGTTAGCCTTTACAATTTGCTAAATTTTCATTAATATTAAAAGTGGGCCAGAACCTTTACAAGAAAGTCATTACTGTCAGCTACAGGTTTAAATATAGAGGTCTAACTTTGCAACTTAAATTAATCAATTTTTATATCTCAGAAGATAAATTTGACATATTAAGCTTCCCCGATTCAGACTTACCTCATGTCTGAAAACAAATCCTACAATGGCAGCGACCAATTCGACCAAAAAAATGAGAGTCAGAAACATTGCATACTGTGGGATAAAAAAGTCTAAGTCAGCATAAATAAGATATATCACAGCTGCAAAGGGAGTCAAAGAAAAAATAATGATCTTCTGCTCAATCAGTTCAGTACGTTTTTATTGAAAAGGACAGAGAAAGTAATAACAAGATGTCTATTTTGAAAGTGGGAATTGGCAGTTGAACTGTTACTTGGTAAGTTTTCATAAGGAACCGGAAAAATTGTAAAGGGCCATGTCGAGTTACCAGAAACAAAGTCTACAATATACAGAACTTAAAAAAAAAACCTAAGAATCAATTCTAAAGAAAATAAGGACTCACCAGTTTTAGCATCCACGCAGAAGCTCGGCAGGTAGCAAAACAACCAAAGGTACCCAAAAGAATAATGACAGTGCCAGTGCCAATGAGCACGAAGGGGACATTGGTGGCCTTCTCATTTAAAAGGGAAAAATAATTCTCCAGGCTCACCTTGCCCCAAATGCCAACAGCAAGAAGGATAACACCAGTGATCTATGTGGAAAATCACAGAACAAAACAGTTAAGCACTGGGTACAGCAGCATCCTCAAATCACAACGCACGAGGTATTTAAGACACAATAGATGTGATACTGACAGACATGAGGGGAGAGTAGCCTGGGGTCGGAGGCGATTCACACACAAGGGTAGGGTGTGGACATGGCATCTTGTCAAAATTCTTAGAATTCATTTTTTTTTTGTAGGTAAACACAAGCCCAGGGCATATTTTCTCCAGGGACCAAAACTTCCTTGTTTTACCCCTACCTAAGGAAGAAAACCTTCTTAAGGGGAGGAAAATTGTTTCCATGAGTTCTCAAAACTTCCCCTGCCCCCACCCTCCAGTTTAGGACTGAACACAGGGTACAAGGAATGATACACAAAAGCAAGTCCAAGGATAGACTGGCGGGAGTTGGGCCATACTATACTTACCTGCGAAACACTCCCCTCTTGTGAAGCAGTGAAAAGAAAGACATTTATTATGCAAGTGAGCCCTCAGAGAGGCCGGGCAAACCTTGACTCTTCAAAGGTCCAGGGGCACCCTCTCTGTCCTCTGAGGGTTTAACTCCCCTCCTCACCTCCTGCCTGGAACTCGAACGCTCGGCACATCTGAGTCCCAGTTCAGCCTATTGGCTGCCTTCTTTCCGCACCCCGACCCTGGTGCCGGCGAGATGCCCCAGCTCCAAGCTCCTGCCGAAGTTACTTGTTGCCAGCGCCAGGGTCCCAGGAGCGATGGCCGCCCAAACCCCACCCCAGCCCCGACTTGCGCTCCCTCGGCTCACGGTCACACCCCCCACCTAAGCCGGGATCCCCTGACGTCCGCGGACGCCTCCGTCTCTCACCCAGAAGATAAAAGTGTAGATCAGTAGGACGCTCTTGAAACAAGTAATAACGGGTTTCGTTTGCAGTCTCCGAGATGGGGACGCCATGACCAGCTTGGGATCCTGCCCCGCCGAACCCTGCTATCGGAACGCAGCGAGCCAGACGCAGAATCCCCGAGTTTCCCCGGAAACTGCCGAAAACTTACGAGTGTCTACAACTGAGAAGAGCCGGAAACACTGTACAATTTTCTAGAGGGTAAAGTCCGGGAGGTTGTCCGGAAAGTGGCGACAATTTCCGAGCGCCCCCTGCCGAGGGTTACCAAAAACTATACACAAAGGTTCTAGTGTCGGAAATTTCATAGGTCTTCAAGTGGAGCTTTCTTCATCTTTTATTCTTCTCTCTCAAAGAATCTTTTCCGCCCCCTCCCCCTCCCCCACCTGTTATAACTTCATCTTATTGTTTCTATCACCAGCAGAGCCAGCAGCGCTCTGAAATCGGGCCTCTCCGGCCCCTGGTGCCCTAGAGGAAAAGAATGAAAAGAGATTAAAAGTGACCCGAGAAAACACATGAGAAAATACCTACAAGAACCACCTCCCCAAAAAACCAAAGCAGATTATAAAGCAATAAATTCAGTCATATGTGCTTAGACAAAAACTGAAAAGGAAAAGCGAGATTTACCTCTGATGGAATTGGGCAGATTTTGTTTCTTACTTGGGTACTTTTCAATTAGTGAACATTGTTTTATAGGGCGAGGAGGGGCATAAGAATGAATGAATTGAAGGAAATAATCACTACTTGTTGAAAGAATTCCAAAGCTAGGTATTAAAGATAATGAATTTTAGGACTTTCCTAGAAGAGTTTGCAAAACTCCATTATCGCTCTTTTTTTTTATCACCTAAGTGGTTGGGAAGAGTTGAGGAAAAAGTGTTTTAACATAATTCATAGTGAAATGTAAATTCAACTATTAGCTAAAAAAACTTTTAAAAAGAGAGAGTGCTATGGAAAATGCCAGGTAAATGTGATATCCTCTTAAATGTTAAAACTGAAAGGCAATGGCAATTTGTATACCTAACCCTGAATTGTACACCACGTCTTTAAAATAAATTTTTTTCAAAAAAAAACTGAAAGGCATTGCATATTCCAGTCACCTAGTTGTTTCCATATTGGTCTCCATTGTTACAGCATAGAATGTGTATTAAGGTCTGATTTCTCAACTAAATTGTCAGCCTTTTGAGAACAGAGACTGAATGTCTCATGAGTATGTGTTATCTCTAGAAGAATGGGGTTAGAAGGCTCTATCACTTCCCAGTCCATCATCATTGCCACAAGCCTAATATTACAAGTGGCCATTTACTGTATTGCTATTGCAAAAAGTCCTGCATTTGTGAAAAAGAGGTGAGTGCTAAAATTTTTCTGCTTGAAACCTGCCTTTAAACATATACCACAGAACCAGAAAACAGGAAAGTTCCATTGACTTGGTCACACAGAGCTTCCCTGTGCTTCGAATATTGACCTAGGACCAGTTTCTATAACATCCTGCCAGACATCTGAGGTACAAGGAAGCAACTATTGGAGAATGAATTATCACACTGCTAGACTTTATGCTAACATTTTATACTAAAATTTGAAAAGTCTGATATATAAACACATGGAGAGAATGAATAAAATAAAATTAAAATATATATATATATATATACATTCACAACACACACACACACACACACACACACACACACACAGAGGTATCGGGATATACCAGATATTCAACTTTAAAAGTACTGCATAAGCCATAGCTACAGGGGTGGAGTGGGGTAAGGGGGGGCTCTAACATGTAAAACTTTCTCCCTAGGCTAAATAACCCTATCTGAGGGATTCTTGTACTAAAAACAAGTAACAAGGGAAATCTTGCTAATTCCTCATCATCTTAAATAGAAGTTTCCTTTGAAGCTTAAATTTGTATCATGTCCTGGAAAGTATTTTCACTGTGAGTCTGAAAGCAAAGAAATATTTCTATGGCTATAGAAAAAACAGAATAGCAAAGCAAAAGCTACAACTTATTTCCAAGAATGTGTTGACTTTCCTCTGCCACTCACAGTGCTGCTTTGTTTGCACAACAGTCAGTGCCAAATGAAACCAAAGGCTGGCATGGAAATTCATATTCCTATGGCCACAACACCTTGCACCGCTGCCTCTCACCCTGCTATACCCACTTCCCCCACCTTCCATGCCACCAAACACAGAAGTTCAATTCTGTTCAAACCTAGGCCTGGGTCTAGGTACAGAACAAGACTAAAGGGGCGTCTAATCCCATCTAAAGTAATTTAAGAAGTGTTACCCTAGGCCATTAGATAAATTTATTCTTTAAAATATTAATAATGCCTGCAACAGTCGGCAGTATGTACCAACCATTGTTGCTAAGAGCTGGACACATACTACCTCATGCATACATCACAAAAACCCTACAATGAAGTCAGCATGACTAGCACATTAATTTTACCAGATGAGGAAAACAGGTTGAAAGAGGCCAAGCAACCCGCCTGGGCCAACTTCTGTGTCATTTATCAGAAATGGGGCCCACTTTGTGATGACATGTAACTGTCATCGTACCAACAGCTATCTTGGCTCCAAATAACTTGAGCAAAGACTGCTGTGTGCAGACATTTAGTCACAAACAAGGGCTCCTCAGAGCCCCTGAAGCAAAGAGACCTCAATGATTGCCCCAGCTCTGCCTTGCACGTGGGTTTTTTGTTTGTTTGATTGTTTTTGGTTAAGTTTGACTTTTGCTTTCACTTTAATAACCCAATCACCTATGAAGCAATCCTGTCTGTCCAAGAATGTGGCAAGGTAGAGTTTTTGTTCTTGTTCAGACACTTAACTTTTCCCTCTTTCTGAGCACAAAAACACAATTTGAAACCAAAAATGTAGGAACATACTTTCCTTAAATATTGTTGCCACTTATTTTATATTTAACATTTAGTAGTATCCCTTCCATATCAACTTTCTATAACATTCAAGATTAGGCTTAGCTTTTTTTATTGGCAGACATCAGACAAGGGAAATGACATAAACAAAAGTTCACTGTTCAGTCAGACCTCCCCTGCACCACCTTCAACTCCCCTCCATCCCTGCCAACCTCTTCTCCCCAGTACAATCTCAACTGATTTCCTACTGCTCTTCCAATGTGAATTTTCTGCTCCACACCAGACCAGTATAATTATCCCCCGACTGAGCAAGTTCTGTTCCCTACTTTCTGGCCACTGACCAACTATAGTCAAAATTTCTGCCCATACTCAATGTTCAACTCAATTCCAACTCAATGAGAACTTTCCTCCTCCCCAATCCCACCTCTTTCTCTAACATCAGCACTCATAGTCTGACAACACATTCACTCACATTAACTACTCCCTGCACACTCTCCAACTTCACTCAAAATTTCTGCCCCTACTCAATGCCCAGCTCAACTCCAGCTCAATGAGAACATCCCTCCTCCCCTACTCCACTTCTTCTCTAACATCAGCACTCATAGGCAGACCACACACTCACTCACATTAACTCAGACCCTTTGTCAATTACCACAATGTCTGCTTTGCATTTCTACTTACCTATCTTACATCCTGCCCTCTAGATGTTCAGAAACTACTGACGAGCCAGTGTGACAGGGTCCCTGCACCCCCTTTTATACTCTCCTCTGTACCCTAGGACATAATGCTCAATTGATGAGTTCATTTGGCGCTCAGCCAATCCCTGCTCATTGAGGTCATAGCTGGTCTCTGGGGTAACCACATGGTAGGATTACTAAAATTAAATTTAAAAACTAAATGTCTAAGCCATTCCAGTATCACACTGTCATAAAACACAAAAATTAAGTTGAGCTGCTGCATAATAATGTCTTGAGACATTCCTCCTCTCTGTCTCAGGAACCACTAAAAATACACCAACCACTTCAATCAGGTCTTACCCCTTTTTCACATAATAACCTTATCATTTTCATTTTCTAATCTCTTTTCTAGCATCCCTCCAATTACCTTTGGCTAAGTGCCTATCATGGAATTTAAATCACCTCCTACTTACTTTCTTAAAATCTCATATTTTATGTTACAGCCATCAGATACTTCATCATTTAAACAGTTAATTCATATCTACAGTTTTAAAATTTTGTTCCCTGAATGGGATATTTTTTATGCCTGTTGTCTCTTGTGAATTCCCACTATGTTCTTTTGGGTTTTTTTTGAGTTGGAGTCTCACTCTGTCGCCCAGACTGAAGTGCAGTGGCCGCTCCCGGCCACCGCAGCCTCGACCTGCTGGGCTCCGGCGATCCTTCTGCCTCAGCCTTCCAAGTAGCTGGAACTTCAGGCGCGAGCTACCACACCCGGCTAATTTTTTGATTTATTGTAGAGATGAGGTCTCACCAAGTTGCCCAGGAGGGTCTTGAACCCACGGGCTCAGGCAATCCACTCACCTCGGCCTCCCAAAGTGCTGGGATTACAGGCTTAGCCACCGAACCCGGCCTCCACTATGATTCTTTGAAATACTTTTCTGTGTCTATTCACCTTTTATTTTCATCCACTCTTTTCAGATTCTCCGTGAATCCTTTCCTCCCTTTCCTTCCCTGACCTTGCCTTCTTAAAAAAAGAAAAACTCATATAAGACAGTGTGGGACACATAGAGATGATAAATACTTTTGAACAGTATTAACATTCACAATTCTATGGTCATTTTCTAAGAAAGTTGTTTCTAAACTAGTCTTGTTGAGCACTGCTGAGATCTCAGCTAGTAAGTCAGTTTCCATATCTAATGTTTCTTAAAAGAATACCTTATTGACTGCTGAGAGGCTTTATATTAAAATTCTTAAAGTTGAAAATGATACTGAACTTTAAGAAATTTAAGAAATTTAGTACATATGGATGTTGCCAGTCTCTGTCTTTGTCTTATCTTCACAATATATGGAGAGGTGTCTTATTTAACTTTATATCTCCACAGTATGTAACATAGTGTATTCCACACATAGTATGTGTTGCAGAAATATCGTGGTTTTTAAAAACTAACCTCACCTAGTTTTAGTGAGTCTTCATATTACTTATCCCAGTGTTTCACATGAATGTTGTCCCTCTCCATTCACTATACACTGACTTTGATCTCTCTATTATTTCCATTTTCTATTGCTTCGCTTTCTTCTTTAACCTCTCGCTACCACCCCCTGTCCCACTCCTTCCAGTCCGAAGTGGGATTGAGGCCTTATGCAGCTTCCTCACCCTGATATGTACTAGGTTCTGTGTTGGGTGCTGGGGATATGAAGAAGGCTAGGACAAGGTTCTTGCCCTTTGGGACTCACAGTCTAGTAGGAGTCAGAGATAAAAACAATGACAGTAAGTGTCAGAAGTTTTACAATTGCCAGGCTCGGTAGCTCAGCTTGTAATCCCGCGCTTTGGGAGGCTGAGGTGAGTGAATTGGATTGCTTGAGCCCGCGGGTTTGAGACCTGGGCAATTTGGCCAGACCTCATCTCTACAATAAATCAAAAATTAGCCGAGTATGGTAGCACGTGCCTTTAGTTCAAGCTACTTGGAAGGCTGAGGCGGAAGGATTGCCAGAGCCCAGCAGGTCGAGGCTGTGATGGCCGGGAGCGGCCACTGCACTCCAGTCTGGGTGACAGAGTGAGACTCCAACTCAAAAAAAAAAAAAAATTCTACAATTGAGACAGATGGGGCTGTGAGAGAAAAGGAAGGCAAAGTTAATCACCTCTGGCTGAGATGGACTGGGGGAAGCTTCTCAACAGCAAGGATGGATACAGTTTCAACGAAGCAAGAGAGGAGGGAAGGGACTACAAGGTAGAGTAAGTATGTCTGTGAAAAGGCACCAAAGTGTGAAAGGAAGAGCAAGAAGCTCAGCGTGTTCAGAATGAGGAGTCAGGGGGTGAATGTTTAAAACCAAGCTAAGGACATCGATTGTGAAGGACATGGTATGCCACGATAAGGAACTTGGACTGTACTCTATGCCAAGAGGGAGCCAACGAAGGGGTTTTTAGAAAGAAACCAGTGCTGGTAGAATTTATTACTTTGCCTGTTTCTCTCTCTCTCTCTCTCTCTCTCTCTC